TAAGCATCTTTTTCATGTGCTTATTAGCCATTTTTATATTTTCTAGGGGAAAATGTCTATTCAGATCCTTTGCCTGTTAAAAAAACTGGGTTGTCTTTTTATTGCTGAGTTATAAGAGTTCTTTCTATACTCTGGGTGGGAAATCCTTGTCAGATTTGATTTGCAAATATTTCCTCCCGTTCTACGAGATGTCTTTTTTTTCCCCCCCAATCTTTTGATAGTGTCTTTTGAGGCACAAAAGCTTGGATTTTGATGAAGTCGAGTTTATCTGTTTTTTCGTTGGTTACTGTGTTTTGGTGTGTCATCTGAGAAACTATTGCCTAGTCCAGGGTCATAATGATTTACTCCTGTTAATGTTTTCTTGTAAGAGTTTTTTAGTTTATTTTTTTTTTTAATTATCTTTAAATGGAGGATAATTGCTTTAGAATGTTGTGTTGGTTTCTACCATACAGCAACATGAATTAGCCGTAAGAATACATGTATCCCCTCCCTCTTGAACCTCCCTCCCACCTCTGCCCATCCTGCCCCTCTAGGTCTTTCTCTTCCTAAGTGTATGATCCGCTTTGAGTTAATCTTTGAACATGATGTTGGGTAATAGTCCAGCTTCATTCTTCTGCATGCGGGTATTCAGTTGTACTAGTAACATTGTCAAAAATCAGTTAACCATAAATGTAAGGCTTTTTCCCCCAGACTCTTAATTTGCCAGTGTTATGTGTGTATCAGTACCACATGTCTTGATTACTGTAGCTATGTAGTAACTTCTGAAACCAGGAAATGTGAATCTTCCAACTCTGTTCTTTTTCACGATTGTTTTAGTTATTCTGAGTCCTTTGTACTTCTTTGTGATTTTAAGATCAGCTCATCCATTTCTGCAGACAGGCCAATTGGGATTTTGATAAGGATTGCATTGAATCTGTATATCAATTTGAGGAGTATTTTCATCTAAATAATATTGTGTTCTTTTCTCTACATTCTTTTGTTTTTTTTAGTTTGAGAACTACAGTTTAAAAAAGAAGCCATTGAATAAACGAATGGATAAAAAAATAAATAACATGAGTTGTGCCCTCAAGTACCTTACAGTTTGGTAGAGTCATGTTGAGAACCTAGTTAAGTAATATATTGGGTTAGAGAAAAAGTTCAGGTTTTTCTGTAATGTTTTGTGGAAAAATTTGAATGAACTTGTTGACCAACCCAGTGGTAGTAACAGTAATAATGATAAGAACTATTACTACTAATAAAAGTATTGGGTTTGCTATGTGGTAGTCTCTGTGATAGCTTTCTTTACTATTATTTATCTCAATGCTCACAAAATTTTTTCACAAATGATTTTTTTAAACCATATAAAGAAAAGTGTGGTAATACTGTAAAGAAGGTGAAAAGATTTTATCAAGCAGAGCTTTGAATTGGACTTTGAAAAATGGGTAGGATTTTGATGAGAAAGAATGGGATTTTGGAAAAGCTGCCCCTTGAAGAATTACCTGGTTTCTGCAACTTCTTGAAGCACCAGAGGAATTTCATTGATGGTAGTACTGGTGCTTGAGGTATATGTTTATGCGAGATGACCCACTCATATTTTCAGGGTAAGAAAATGAAGGAAAAGGGAAAGTTGGAAGATAAAAGAAAAAATGGAGATAGTGATGAACCAAGGCGTCCGTAGTTGGGGACCTTAACCACCCAATGCTAGCATTAAATTAAGAACAAAAGAAGGATGGGGGGAATTGGGGAGAATTGCTCAAAGAAAGAAGAGGAAACTTTTATTTGATGGCTTTGATCTTCAGAGTAAATTTGAATGTAATGGTATTTTCTGAGTGAATTAAAGTTGGGGAATGAAGTTAGGAGCTAGAGAAGCATAAAAAAGGTTGGAGTAAATGTTGTGAGACATGTAATATGAATTAAAAATAAGTACAAATTTTCATGCAGTAATGTGGAGGACTAATTTCCATGAATTGATAATGGAATTCAATGGCCTTGTTTTATTTTCTTCAGTAATATGTGGTAACCTGAGAGAAAGAATGGAATAATTGAATGATGGAATTTACCCAGAGTTGTTATTTAACAAGCCAGTTGGTAAAAGAATAAGAATTAACCAGACAGTCTAAGATGTTACCAGTGCATTGTTGAAATAGTGAGTCACAAAGCATGGGAAGAAAATAGCAAAGAAATCTGAAAAACTTTTAAGAGATTAATATTGACCATGAACCAGAGTAGTGTGGTAGTGAGATTTAAGACTTAAGAAATTTAAGACAATGGGATAAGTGTGTGTGCGCAGGAGTGTGGGAGGTTCCCAACTGAGATCTTGTCATCATTTAGAACGCTTTTGTAAAGAATTATTTGTATCTCTGAATCTTGTAGGTAGAGTAGAAATAAATGCCTTTGTAGATAAAAGGTTTAGAGAACTTTAAGATAGGGGTGTTACAAGAGTAATCACACACAAAAAAGTAATCACCATCCACACTGAATGCAGCAAGGATAATGGGGTGAAATGAGCCAAACCAGATACAAAACAAGGCGGGGAAGGAAGTACCTTGGTAGACTGCATCTATGAGAATGGAGAGAGAAGTGGAATAAGTAAATGTTTTGTATTTAAGAAAGAGTTATTGTAATATATTTTTAAAAATTAAGGCTAATGTTTTGATACAGAGTTAACATTCTGAAAATTTGTTTACATTTATTACTTTTCCTAAGCTTAACTCTGTGTAGTAAATGTACCTGCTCAGATGATAATAAGATCATATGATCTATGCAAGGAGGAATTTTTGTCTCCTTAGGCTGTATGTATATAATCTTCAAAGGGTAGGGATTGTGTTGGTCTTTATTTTTGTGGTTTGAGCCCCAAATAGTTCCAGGCGCATGTATGCTCAGTATATATTTATTGAATGATTAAGTATCAATAAGTGGATCATACTGAAAAAAGATATCCTTAAGTAATTAGCCCATGGAACTGAAAGCTAAATAGAAACATAGCTCAGTAGATTTTGGACTGATTTGGCTATAATGCCCTGAAATGCTGTGAAACGTTTTGGGGTCAACATTGGGCAACTATTGGATTGTAAAGGAGAGTGCTTTTTTATGTAGTTTAATTAAGCCCTTCAGTAACTCATTTTAGTATTTTCCCTCCCCCCTAAAAAAAGTTATATGGTGAGATCAGACATCAGGTGTGGTGGCCTATATTGAATTGAAATTTCTCCTTTATCCTCCTCTGAAAGTATTGGTCACTCAGTCATGTCTGAGTATTTGTGACCCCATGGACTGTAGCCCACCAGGTTATTCTGTCCATGGAATCCTCCAGACAAGAATACTGGTGTGGATTGCCATTTCCTTCTCCATTATTCTCCTCTTCCTGTGATAATTCTTCCTTGCTTATAGAATGAAGTTCAGGCTTCAAAGCATAGTATATACAACCTCTCCAAGCTGGTCCTTTACCCACTTTTCTTTTTTTCCCACTTTTCTAGTCTTACGATTTGTGTTCCTATTCTTCACTTAAATTACACAAACATCTACTGATCCCTTGATATGTCCCAGGTATTGTATGACAGTCAGCCATACTAGGCCATAGTTTTCCTCTGTCTTAAAATTTCTAACCTCCTTACTCTGTTAAAAATGTCTCCTGTGCTACACAGTACTCTCTTCTCCCCACTTACTCTGTCTATATAAATGCTAACATTTTCAGCTGCCTCCCCTTCCTTACTCTTACCTTGTATCAAAAACATTCTCATATATAACACAATAAAAATGCAGCCATTTGCTTCTCTGCAGCCCAATAATAAACTCTCTAGGTAATGGGAAATGCCACTGTTAAAATTTTGTGGCCTTTTATAAATGTATGTGGTGTCGTATCTATTTGGGGTGGTAGGGAGACATGATGGTGGATTATGGTGTAGAGGGGAGAAGGTGATTACCACTGCAGTAAAGAACCATGGGCATATACATTCGAATCCATTCTCTCTCTTAAATTTTCAATTATCATTCTATTTTCAAGATTCTTCCTGCTTTTAGAAAGTGATACCTTATATGATCATGTGACCTTTCAGCTTTAATAAAATGACACTTTACCCTGATGGGTAATGGTCTCAAAATTTCTTGACTACAGGATGTAAACCACCTTTTCAAATAAAATTCTATTCTCTAAGCAGTGTTTGATGGGAAAGGGGAGGTCATAAGGTATCCATAGTGTGAAAAAGAAGATATTTTTAACTAGTAACTGTTTCAGAAAAAAGGTCACAGTTATGCATCCTCTAATCCCTGTTGAGGAGACTTTGGTGGTTATGGTGAGACCTGGCACTGTGTACCTTTGCCTGCCTGCCAAATCGCTTTAGTCATGTCCAACTCTTTGCAAACCCATGGACTGTAGCCCATCCGGCTCCTTTGTCCATGGGATTCTCCAGGCAAGAATATTGGAGTTGGTTGCCATGCCCTCCTCCAGGGGATCTTCCTGACCCAGGGATTGAACCCACATTTCATGTCTCCTGCATTGGCAGGTAGGTTCTTTACCACTAGCACCACCTGGACTGTGTACCTTAGGCTTGTCTTTTTGACAGATCTCTTTTAACACCTCATCTCCTTTTCAACCTCTCTTAGTTGTTTAGAGAGAGACCGAGAGAGATGTGAAACCTTATATACCTATAACTTATCTAGAAAAAAATGCTTTGATGTGGTAGTTTATCTTATGTTAGATGTGTAGTTTGGAAGATAAATTGTGATTTGGCCAGAAAATAGCTAACACTAGTTTTTTTAAATTAATATTCATGGCTGTTATGGACATCATACATGTATGTGTGTGTGTCAGTTTCTAAATGTAGTGTCTTATAACAAAAGATTTATCAGTTTAAAGATAAAGGTACTAATTTACAATACTTCCAGTACTTATTTTGTAATTTGTAACACAAAATCCTTTTAGCTAGATTATAAAGAGATCATAGTCAAAAACTAAAATTTCATATTTCCTTTTGTTACTGTCAGGAAAAAGTCCAGATTCAATGTAAGTCTACTTTATTTTATAGGCCTATGAAGAATACACCAGCAAGCTAGATGCCCTCCAACAAAGAGAACAACAGTTATTGGAATCCCTGGGGAATGGAACTGATTTTTCTGTTTCTAGCTCTGCATCAACGGACACCGTTACATCTTCTTCCTCTTCTAGCCTTTCAGTGCTGCCTTCATCTCTTTCAGTTTTTCAAAATCCCACAGATGTGTCACGGAGCAACCCCAAGTCACCACAAAAACCTATCGTTAGAGTCTTCCTGCCCAATAAACAGAGGACAGTGGTGAGTCAGCTTTTAATTCATCGTGGCTTTTTCTTCATATTTTTCAGAAAGACTAGTTGTGGAAAATGAAATGTGATACCCAGTGGTCATGCAAATGGAAGCATCCATTTAAACAAGAATGGAAAAGACATAGTTATTTGGTGCCAAAGTATGTGTTCCTTAAGTGGAACAAATTGCATTGTCTTTAGTGTCACATGTATACCTGTCTACTAAGCTTGAACCACACTCACATCTGAGTACTAGTTTAGAATCAGTCAGAATTTTGAGACTTAAGCTTGTTTGTCGTCTAACATATGTCAGATAAGATTTGTTCTTTGCCATAGAGAAATCCCTATTTAGATTTATTATCAAATGTTGGATTCTTAGTGTGCTTGACATTTTTCCTCTTGTTTACATAAGTTTTGATTGTTGATCATTATATCATCATTGGAACATAGTACTCTGTAAATAACCTTTAAAGCAGGGAAATCTGCAGAATAATTATAGATGGTCTGTAATCTCAAGTGCAACAAGTACTGCCAGTGGACATAACTGAATGGAAAAATGCACCTACCTGCATCACTCATTTTTTATAATGTATATGGTTATTTTGATATTAATTAAAAAAACCATTTCATCGCCAAATACAATTGAAGCCAAAGTAATCTTTTAATTTTTCCCCTCAGATAGCATTAGTATTGCTTCACAGAAAAAGTTTGCTGATTTGCTTATGCTGTAGTGTCCTCTAGTGGGGTCAGCTTGTTACCCGGTGAAACAAAGGCTTGTGAATGTCATAATGTGGAGATACAAGACTAGGCCTTCGGCCTGTGTCACAAAGGTAGTTGAAACTTATATCCTCATGTAATCTGAACCTTTGAAAAGCTTTACCTTCAATAAAAGGGTGAATTAGAAGAAAATCTACTCACCAGCATACATAACAGTGAAACTTTTCTGTCTTTGCCAGGGCCCAGATAAAGGTTAAAGTTTCCCTTGTGAATTCTTAACTACAGATCTGTTCTTACCATAGCGTGGGGTTCATCATTATGTTACATGCATTATTCAGGAATTCTCAACCCAAGAAATGAAATTAAAAACAGGTTCTGGAATAGTAATAGCACTCAGGCACTGGGCAGAAACAGATGTAAATCCCTCCCTTAGCCCATATAGGTCTTATGGAATTCATATATGTAATACTTCAGTGACAAGGTCAAAATTCCAAGTTATAGTTTGCAGGGAGAAATAGTCTGTCATCAGTGAGTTAGAAGACTTAATAGCAGCAAGATTAGATTCCTAAGAAGGAATCAAATAGAATTTCTAGGTGGCCTTAAAATTTAAAATTCAGTGGATGACACTTATCATCTCTGAAGTATTATTGCTAAAAATAATTGTGTCGAATGTTAAGCTTCTGGTCCTTCTACTTTATAAGAAGGGCAAGGAATAAAGGGAAAACTTAAGCACTATGAGAAGCAGACACATTCGAAAGGTGAACATTCCATAAGACAGCCTGGACTCTCAATTTATGGAGAATAAAACGTTGGAGATTATTCTACACTAAATAGAACAAAGAGACAAAACAACCAAATGCATTCTGTAATCCTGGTTTGGGACTAGGGTGAGAAAGAACTGTAGAAGTCCTTCTTGACAGGGGATATGTCAAATGTTGGTTGAATGTAGTATGTTTTTATGGAATTATTAGTTTTTTTAAGTGTGATAATAGAGATATTATTATGTAGGAGAATATCTTTATTCTTAGGAAATATATGCTTAAATAATTAGGGGTAAATTGTTACGATGCCTGCAACCTCTCTCACCTCTTTTTTAAAAATAAAACTTATATATAGTAAAGCATACAAATCTCAAGTGTACAGCTCAGTGACCTTCTACATGTGTAACTGCCATGCAGATAAAGATTATAGAACATTTCTGATGTTGAGAGTATACTCTTGTGCTCCCTCAATTGAGTACCCATCTTTAAGAGTAACCACTATACTGAATTCTGTCTCAATCAATAAATTTAGAACTTATTTTCAAATGGTATAATGGAAAACAAAAGGTTAAAGAGAGAAAGTAAATATGGAGAAGTAATTTTAGAATCTTGGAAAATTGGATGTTAATTGTGCCATTCCTTCTAATTTTCTGTGTTTGTAGTTTTTCTAGTGAATTTGGGAAAATTCAAAGAACATGGAACAAAAGAAAAGTAGAAAGTTAAAAAGAAACAGTTGTCCCTAGGAAAAAAATTAGTGAACATATTGATACTGATTTGAGGAAGTAGCAAAGTAACACTTTTGCTAAAATTTCAATATATCAAGCCGGTTACAGCATATTACAGACCAAGTGTTAAAATGCTTTATAGAAATAAAAATATTTATTTTTAAAAATCAATGGATTTAAGAGTAGATTGAATTTAGCTGGAGGAGGAGAATTGGTGACCTCTAGAAAACAGAGAAAGAGAGTTATAGAAAATATGAGAGGTATGTATGAAGGATGGACTGAATAGTTTCATCATATGCCTCAAAGCAGGAAATGAGAACAGAGCAAAGAAATGGGGCTTCCTGATGGCTTGGTGATAAAGAATCTACCTGCCAATGTAGGAGACATGAGTTTGATCCTTGTTTCAGGAAGATCCCAAATGCTGCAGAAAACTAACCCTGTACACTGCAACTATTGGACCTGTGCTCTAGAGTCCAGGAACCCCAACTGCTGAAGCTGGAGCCCATGCTCCACAGCTAGAGAAGCCACCGCAATGAGAAGCCTGCCCACTGCAAGTAAAGAGTAGCCCCCGCTCACCACTAGAGAAAAGCCTGTGCAGCAGCAGCCATAAACAAATAAATAGATACTTTTTTAAAAAAGAAAAAGAGCAAAATTCAAAACAATGACGGCTAACCTTCATTAAAGACACAAATGAAGGATTTGAGACACATAAGCTTTAAGTCTTTTAAATAAATTGAAATTCATTCTTAGTAGATGTAACAAAATGAAAGAATATTGTTTTAAAAGCACTTAGGAAAAATTACCTATAAAGAAATTCCAGTTAGATTATCAAAAAATTTCCTTATAGCAGCTGTAGAAGCCAGAAGACAGTAGAATAATATACTCAAAAAGTGCTGATTGATGCTGTAAGTTGCTTAGCTAAAGTATGAGTTTAACTTATCTGGTACACTGTGAGTCAGGGCACAGTAAAGCCTTTCCAGATGAGGAATTTACTTTTCCCAAGCTCTACCCAAAGGGACTACCTTGGAAATAACTTAGGGAGAAGACTGAAAACAGAGGAAGGAATGAAAAGTAAGAATTAAATGTAAAGCTAGTTTGTACAAGAAAACACAGAGGAAAATATTTTGTGACCTGGAATTTGGCAACAATTTCTAAAATATGACACCGAAACACAGTCCCTAATGAACATATTGATAAGTTGTACTCTATCAAAATTAAAAACTTCTCTTCTCCTAAAGACTTTATTAAGAGAATAAAGAGACAAACCACAGACTAGTAGATAATCTTTGCAAAATATATATATCTGATCAAAGACATGTAATCAGAATATATAAAGAACTCTTAGAACTCAACAGTGAGGAAACAATTAAATGGACAAAAGATTTGAATAGATACTTCAGAGAAGATATGTGGATGGCAAATAAACACATAAGAAGATGTTCAACATCATGGGTCACTAGGAAAAAGCTGATTAAAGGCACAAGATACCACCATATACCTATTAGAATGACTAAAATGAAAGAGTGGCCTTACCAACTATTGGTGAGGATGTGGAATGGAATAACTGAATTTTCATACACTGGTGATAGGAATGTATAGTGGTGGTATAACCACTTTTGAAAGCAGTTTGAAGATTAACTTAATGTTTTAAAGTCTTTTAGTTTTAAAGTCTTTTAGCTTTAAAGTCTGAGTAGCTTTTTTTTTTTTTTTGGCAAAAATAGAAAAATCCACCCTGAAATTCATATGGCATCTCAAGGAATCCCGAATACTCAAACAACTTTGAAAAATAACAAAATTGGAGGTCTCATACTTCCTGATACTAAAACTTATAAATTAATAAGTAAATCGTTTTGGTACTGATATAGGCAGATAGACCAGTGAAATAAATGGAGTACTTTTAAATCATTTCTTTTTGATTATAGCCTTCCTGTTCAGTATGAAGTGGGACTTTGTTGTGATTTTTATATACTTTTCTCTATTGGCTGATGATATCAAGTGGCTTTTCTTTATCTTTGCTGGAGAAAGTATTTACTTTTATAAATAGTTTTACATGGCATATGCAAAACTGGGCATTACCCAAATGGTTAAATAAGTTTGGTATAGCTGTCAAATGGAATACTACTTAGTAGAAAGAATGTATTACTAGTACACACAACAGCATAGATGACTCTGAAAGTAATTATGTTAAGTGAAAATAGCCAGACAAAAATGACTATATACTAATAAAAAAATAAAAAAATGACTATATACTTTATAATTCTGTTATAAAAGTCTAGAGGAAATTCCCTGGTGATTCAGTGGTTATGACTTGGCACATCCACTGTCATGGCCCCAGGGTTCAGTCCCTGGTCAGGGAACTAAGATCCCACAAGGCTTGTGATGTGGCCAGAAATAGATATGTAAGTAGATAAAGCAATTACAGGAGATTTGAACAGCATAGTTGTCAATTTTATTTTATAGACATGTAAACCTTGTACTAATCAATGAAAGAACACATGTTCTTTTCAAGAATGTATGGGACACTGAAAAACTTCTTTTACTGCATTTTTAGGCAAAAAAGGGAATCTTCACAAACACAAGTATTTTTTTGAGCATAATGCAATTGAAGCAGAAATTAGTAACAATAATGGGAAACCACATTTTTAGAGATTTGAAGACACTTCCGAATGTCATATGTCAGAGAAAAAAATATGAAAAAAATCCTAGTCCTGTGTAAATTTTATTCTTCTATAAAAAAGCAAAAGAGAACATTTCCTAACTCATATGTAGAATTTGTGTATCTTGGTTCTAAAACCAAAGATCATTTGTTA